AACGAGATAAGTAGCATTAGTATCAGATTTCTAATGATTCTCTGAAAAGATACTTACAATTCATAACAGTTTTTATACATGTGCAATTTTGTATAGTAAAGAAATAAAATAAAAGAAGAACGATAATATTCTGAATAAGTATCTAATTACGATGAATTTAACGAGACAAGTGGCATTAATATTAGATTTCCATTATCTTGTTCCGATTGTTTGAAAAGATATTTACAATTTACAATACTCAGTATACACAAAACTCGATTTTGTACGGTAAAAGAAATAAAAAAAAGAAAGGAGAACGATAATCTTTTTTAATCTTCGCAAATCTTCGTGGACACTAACAATAAGTACTCATAGTGAATTTAACGAGACATTTCGAAAGTATCGTTTCCTGGCGCAACGCCAGTGGGCGAAATCGCGCTGATAAAAGAAATCCCTTTGTTATCAAGATGTAGTAATATCATCGAACATCTGGCGTGTCTCGAGCGAGTGAAATCCGCTTCGTTTTATTGTCTTTGTACGGTTTCGCTTGATCGTCAAATTTTTCACATTTTAAATCGAAAACCCGCCATCTTTGTCATCTAACGATACTTGGTAATGGATGATTTCCACCGATATTGTAGTTCAGTGGTTGCCAACTTATGAATGCAGTAAAGGTGTATTTTAGTTTTAATGGAACATCATTTTCTTCTTTGAGAAATTTTTTATCAATATTAATTTTTTTCATAAGAATCGATGTTCAAACGATTTCATGGATAATTAAAAAATTTCTTTCTATTTTTGAAACGATGATGCTTTGTAAACGAAGGAGAAAAGATGGCGCCAATTTTCAAACGATCGTAATAATATTACACCCGAATATAATTTCGACGTGGAAAGTAATTTGTGTCGTAAAAAAGTAAAAAAAAAATACGTAAAAAAAATAACGCAATTAAGATATTGTGAACAATTTATATCTCCTTCATAGGCTCCAAAGAGTCTGTGAAAAAGATAAAACAATAATGGCCCTAGAAAAAATGAAATAGTAACACTTCTAGAAAGAATATATTTTATTTCTCACCCGTTCAAAAGTTAAGAACGAATCGAATTCGTGAAACTAATGTATTTTATCTATATTTCATTATTAAATAAAATAATAAAATTTGAAAAAATATGAAACTCAAGAAAAGAGGAGTAGAGAAGTTTCTTCCTCTTCGAGATATTAAATCCATTAAAGAAAGTCGATAGAAGTGTTTTATCAGTTGTTAAACACTTTTAGTGATTCTTTATATTTTTAATTCCCGCTATCGTCTTCAATAACACTTAAAAAGATTAGAAGAAAAGAAATTATTAATTTTCTTTTTTTTTTTTATTAATAATAGAAACTTGATAGACAGGAAATTAAACTTCTTGTTTATCATTTGAATTGACAAGTATGTTACGACATAATATTAACAAATATCGGAAATACTTAATAATTCTTGGTGATACGATATATATCATCGATTTCTTTTATGTTAATGTGACAAAACTCTGAGATAAAGATGCTAATTTATTATATACGCACTAAAATCCCACGAGTGTACTATTTGCTTAACTGCAAGAGTTAGAATTTTCTTATCTCATTATTGTTGAAAAAACTCGAGATCTTTTAGCTTGGAAGATTCTTAATAATAACAAACGTTTACTTATTTCAAGAATCATATTTACTTGCAAACTTTTTAATAAATTACTAGACAATTACATTGGATAATTATTAAATACAAATATACATACGTTGAATTAACTAATCATTTCATCGATTTTACGGATAATTTCGACATCTCGTAAATTACCATCGAATGCAAACTGTATATAACAATAATATTAATATTAATTACGCGAAATACAATTAATTTGTGATGTAAATCTTATCAATACGTTAAATATTTGAATTTCTCATTTTGAAAAGTATTGCAATATATCGTATCCCGATAATGAAACGATTAAAGCAAATTGTTAAATCGTTAAAACACAAGCTTAGATTCAAATAAACGAGAGAACGTATCATTATAACCGATCGTAATTACGATGATTATAACTAAATAACTCGATCCTTAATCCGATTGACGATCAAATATCTGTTTTAATCGTCAAACCTGTCTTATTACGCGTCAATTAAATAACATTTATCGTAAAATTTGATCAAATAATTCCTCAACATTGATTGAGATGATAAAATCGGCAAAATAAACCTATCTTATGCCTCTATCTTAAAACCAGCTTTTACATCTCATTCTCGTATCGTTTTCGTATCGAATTTTACAAGATTCTCCTTTTCTTTCGAGAAGAAGAAAAAAAAGAAAAGAAAGGGAAAAAAAAAATACCACACCTCAATCAGTTGCATTTGATTTTTATCTATCGTATCACTTCTATAATCCATCGATAACGCGCCGTATCGGAATCGAAACCCGACCAATGAAACCGGATATCGATTCCAACTCGAAACACGCACGAAAAGATAACAAGGGGGTTGGAGGGGCGAGGTAAAGTTTCGAGGCAATAATACCCATTATTGTCCTTCATCCCCCTTAAAGATCGAAAAAAACTCTTCGAATTTCATCAATTAACCAAACGATAACCCAATGTAACGCCAGCTTGTTGTAACCGGACTTTCCCTGCAGAATTTCCGAAACGGGGGTGAAACGAAATCGTATCGCGCCTTCGAGATTAAATCGATCGCGGATTTAGCACACCGGCGACACGGTGTACCTGCCGTGTATCGCAGATTTTCGACGACAATTGTGCGCGCACAATGCTCCATCGCGAAAAAAAACATCATCCCCCATCCCTCTTTAGGACAAAAGAGCAAATCGCAATTGCAAATTCGTCATCTTGAAAATTCATTTCATCCCGGAGGAACGGGAACCTTGTCCATCCGCAGCGAAAAAAAAAAGCAGATTTTTCTTTCATCTTCTATCCTCCAAAATCTCCAAAATCTCCAAACCTTCTCCTACCTACCTAATTCACAGCTTCTCCCCCGCCTCTCGGTTTCTCTTCACAGGCATTCCGCGTGCAACCGGGCATCGTCGTTTGGAAAAGACGAGAGAGAGAGAGAGAGAGAGAGAAAGAGAAAGAGAAAGAGAGAGCTAATCTTCCGGGGCAAATCTTCCGTCGCTCGCCGATTTATTTACGATTTTCGCTCGTCGATTACGCGATACGACATTATAAGATAACGTTCGTTCATCGTCACTTCGTTTTTACTTCGTTCTGCCTCGTTTTCGAACGGCATTGAATCTTCGATAGATCCACCAATACGATAATGAAAATAATGATCCTTCGATCATTTGCTCCTTCACCACTTCCGAGATCTTTTTCCACTATTATTTCCCGATATATCACGATCGTCCATAATCCATAATCCTTTCTTTTATACGTTTGTATAAAAATATATATATATATATATTTCGCGTTATCGTTCACCGATTTTGATTCATTCGTTCATTCAACTCGCGTAAGGGTTCACCGATAGATTCACCACGAAGCGCGAATCCGAAACGAACGATCCATCACAAGTACGTTCTTCATTAATTTTTATCTCACCACCTGTGTTAAAGGAAGCTTACTTCTCCTTTTTTTTCGTCAACAAGAGAGGACAGGCGAAACGTCCCCGTCCCCCGAGAAGTCGCGCGAGCGGAACACGTCGCTGTGGCCGTGTTTTCGGCACGGCGATCGCGCGCGTACTGAAAATCCCGGTAACCACCCCCATCGACCCTCCCCGAACCGCCCCCGTTCTAATACAGACACCTCTCTCTCTCTCTCTCTCTCTCTCTCTGTGTGTGCACACACACTCCACTGCAAAATTGTGTAAGCACACATTGGAACACGCATATTTGCCTCGACCACGATTTTCGAAAAAAAACTTCTCGAAAAGTTTGGAAAATCCTTCCTTCTCCATCTCGTCCGAGTTGAGTCTGGTTTTTTTTTTTTTTCCTCCCCATCGACGACAGCCGCCAATGGAACCGGATCTATCGGATTATTGTGTACGATTATTGGATGCTCGGATTATCGGGGGGCAGAGCGTTTTCTCTTTTGAGGAGAAAAGTTTCGAGTCCCAGAAATAGGGAAATGGGGAGAGGGGGTTTGGCTCGCGGTTGAACAGGCGGCGAGCGTGTATGCGCGTTTCGGTGAATTGAACACCGTCCGTGGAAAGTAATTGTCATTGAGACATTGTCGTCGAGGAGAGGGTGGATCGAATGAATTTAATGCTATCGTCACGGTCCAGCTATACGCTCTCCCTTCGCGTTCATTATTCTTCGAATGCGTGTGTTAAGTTTATATATATAGAGAGGAGGTTTCTTGTTTTATTTCCTTTCCATTTGAATCTCGTCCTCTCGTGAGAGTTAATTTTGCGAGTGAGATGAAAAGATGATTCGCAGGATTTTATTTTGCGAAGAAAAGAAATTGTCCCCTTTTTTAATATTTTGGATTAAACGTGTGAAGGATGTATAATTGTGTCGATGATCGTTGAAGAAGGTTCACGATGTAAATGAACGAATAATTCTTATTCTAAGAATTTGATTTCTAAAATTTTCTACACGTTACAGTTAGATGTTCCAAGGTTGCAAAATAGATTTTGCACATTTCTCAAATGTTTAGCTTATCCGTTAATGATAATACTTTCAATCTTCTTCTTTATTTCTAAATAGGTAGACAAATTTGTCTTTTGATTATTCAATTTTACGTTGTAATATATAATTAAAATTTTATTACATTACACTAGATAATAATCAAAGTAAAAATCGATATGAATGTATAGAAAGAAATTCAATTTTGAAGAAAGAAAAAATTAGTGATTTGAAAGTCTTGGAACATGATCCTGGAAGATCGCATTAATTTGTTCGTCAAAGAGTTTTTACAAAATTTGTATTCAACAATTTTAAAGTTCCAAACTTTTCTTCTTTGTTAAGAAAATTTTGTTCGTTTTTTTTTTTTTTTCCAAAAATCGATTTACACCTCTACTCTCTCAAACCACAAAAAGTTTTCGTAAAAGTTTTCGTATTTATCACGTGAAAGGTAGTTACAATTTGTGAGAAAAAAATTTGTCATATTAAACAGTAACTCGATTTAATTACTGGATCTGGACGGTAATTTGAAAATCACTAACTCGAAATTGTGTGATCAACTATGCCACGAATATTGACATTGCTGCACGTGCACGTGCATAATTACACCTCTAAAATTTCACGTTCAGCATTGGCACGCCAGTATATGTGTATAAACGAGTCGAACGCGATCTCTCGAACGAGATCACTTTTATTTACCATGTACGGCAACTGGTAATAGGTTTCAATCGAGAGAAATGAAATATAAATAGAACAAAGAATTTTGCAGGTAAAATGTTAGGAAATATATAGATCGTTATTATTAATTAGCATAGACAATGATACTATATTTTATTTAATTGTATTTATAATATTGTTCAAACGCGATCTCTTGAATTCGTCTTCTATTTTAAATTACGATAACATGGAAAACAGTTGTTGGAAAATTCTCACGTAGATTATTCGTTCACGTATCACAATTTTTATCCACAAACTCAAGAAAATATATTACTTATGTTTAAATTTTATTTATTTTTTATTAGAAATGATTTGATTGCCTTATGCCTTTGTGCCTTATTTACATTGAGCTGATCATCGTCGCACTATGCAGCGATTCAAAAAGGGAAATCGTGTTCAGATTGATACCCAGATTCAGGCACAAATATCCAAGATCGCGTCTTTATATATATACATATATAAACTCAATCTTTTATATACTTTCATAACTATCTTCGAAAATTGTCGAAGAAAGAAAGCAAAAAGTTCATTGATTGCTATTCGAAAAAGTTTTAAACGTCTCGTATTCCGTGAAACGTAAACCGAACTTTCGAAGATACTTTAATGGATCTCGAGAATAAAATCTTTTTCTCTTTAAATAATTTTCGATCGAAATCGTGCATCCATAGCAATTATTATAAAACTATTCGTCTCTCATTCTTTTTTTCTCATCGAATAATCGTTTTTCACTATTTAACTCGAATCCAGATTGAGCAATTTTATTATTAATATCCAATTATAATCTAAAGAGATTGGTGTAATAATTTGATCCATATGGATTAAATCGTTATTCAAAATATTATTAGGATTAGGATTAAACGAAGGATTAAAACGAAGAAATTTATAGATTTATAATAATTTAATTATATTTAACATATCAACGAATCTTTACACTCGTTACTTAACAACTTTCTAACAAAATTCTAACCGCTAGTTTTTGAAAGATATTCCACATAAATAATAATGCACATAATTTATTTATTAATTATTATATATAGAACGCTCCAATGATTGTTTAGATTGTTGGCTTGGATTCTTTATTTAGCTCGTTTCTTTATTCGTCAGGTTTAACACTGGACGATGACTCGGGTTTGCTTGAAGATGGTTCCGGGGTTACTTGGCAGTGCGCCTTTTCTGGCCAATCGCAAATCTGTAACTCGGCATTGAATTCAAGTCCTGGATAACATTTCATCAAAAACGGGGTTCCTCTGTTGCAAGCATAGTAAGATGCACAATCATCTGGATTCGGAAGTAGGATCACTTCGTCTTCGACTTCATTCGGCGGACATGTAGGTGGTGGAGTTGCGGAAACAAGGGCTATCGAAACAGTAGCAAGAGCTAGCGCAAGTATCGCTGAAAAAATAATTTTGTTTGATGTCACATAATGCTGGTGTGGTAATTTTTAAAAGATTCGAGAGGCAAAGATTCGATATACAGGTCAAGCAGGTTTCCTATTCTTTGATCGCGTCATCAATTTTTCAACCAAAAAAATATGAAAGATAAAAAAAGAGTTTGCCTTTGCATAAGAGTACAGTGCAAGTGTTGTCGAAACACATTTTGAATTTCGTTCGAATTTTTCTATAATTGTTTTTTAATTAATTTATTCATCGAAAATTAATATCTGCCATTGAGAAGAAAAAAAAAATAACGAGAAAATACGTTTTGTAAACATGCATACAGATTTAATCAAATATACAAAGTGAAATATTATATTATTGACAAACAGAAAATTATAGTTGAATGTTATTAAATAAAAAATAAGTTTACCTTTCATCTTTGAATCAGATATTAATCGTAACCTGTTCGTAACAGCGTGCAACGTGATTGTTTAACAATATCGATATCTTTCTTCTTTTATATTTTTCGTCAATTTTTTTTTTTTCATAATTTATCGTTACATGTTGCAATCACTTATCGACATTTTTATTAACATCTGATAAGTAATAACAACGGTGACCAATGTTCTTCGAACTATCATAGACAGGTTTTCTTTATCTTATTTATTCTCTAATAGCTCTTAGTATACTCTGTATAATGTTTTTAACATAATATCAATTTAAACAATATAATAACGCGAATGTTACAAACTTAATTGGATTTAAATAAATCACTTATAATTATTATTTCATGTTATTTTATTGCATTTCCTATTAATTGATAGTTTATCTACCGATATTATTGTTTTGATATCGACAAGAACAAATAAGATATCGATAAGAATTCACTGTGATAAATTATTTTTTAACAGAAGATGATTTTCACTGTAATAAATTACTATTAAATAAAAATTATTAATTGCAACTCTTTAATTGCAGATTTGATAAGTAAGAATTTTCGATTAATATTAGGGAGAGAAAGAAAGAGGAAAAGTGGTATGTTTTAGTAAAAAAAAAAATTTTATAAATTTTTCAAACGTTAAAATGTAATTAAAAATTATTACAAAAAATATCAGATTCAATCCTGCCGCTAAAATCTTTGATGACTCATTGAAATTAATTTCACAAAAATTAACCATGGAAAAACACTATCAATCAAAAGAATTGAACAAGAATTGAAAAAGGCTACTTTTACTTGTTTTCAATATAGAAAAAAAATAATTTCTCATATATTATAACCCGATAACTTAATATTTCGAAATCCTCAATTACAAATCGAAAGAATAATCTAAATTAACAGCTACTTATTGCAAAAATTTATTTATTCACGTTGAAATAGATGATTTTGTTTCATTTTATTTTTAATAAACAAAAGCAAAAATCCAATTAAAAAATAAATAGTAATGTGTACATAACATTAATTTCTATTTCAATATTTCTCTTGAAAAATAGAAAACCATGAAGAATGCTTTAAACTCAGCTAAATATGTATTCATAATGAAAATTGTAGGATGATCTTAAATAATTTCTCGCTCATATTGTCGCCAATTTTTAAGAAAATCCATGATAAATTTATGATATAAGTGGGATAAATGTAGCTAGTACAATAATGCAACAAACGAAATTGGTGATTTCGATCGAAGAAAAATTA